ATGATTAAAGAAATAATGCCCGCATCACAAAAAATATCCTTCCCGTATTTGGAGGGGTTAACAGCAGAGCTCTGTAGCGGTCCAGAAAAGAAATCATGTTTATATCTAGTTCATATCTCCATAGCAATGAAAGAGGAAGGAGAAAGGGAGGGAAACAAGCAAGAAATACAGCCACTCATCCATACTTTTCTTGTCATTACAAATAGAAAAGTTCAGTTTAAAACAAAATGATGCTTCTTAAAAATAGCTAGAAGGTATAATAAAACAACGCGTCTATACAAATGTGCAATAAAGAGTTTAAGTCACAAGAAAATGTGTGACAAATTATGCGTTTGTCTGCCTCTGAAGTGAAGCCAGGGCCTGCAGTCATAAGTTCTTAATCATAAATAGTTGTTCCGGTAGTCCTTGTTTTGCAACCAGAGTTAGGATCAGAATTTCCATGGCTAAGCAAGACAGTTGTTAAGTGAGCCCCATCCAACTTTACAACCTTGTTGGCCACGACAGCTGAGCAAACCACTGCAGTTGTTAAGTGAATAATACTGTCATTAAGCAAAACTGGCTTCCCCCACTGACGCTGCCTCTTGGAAGCTAGCTGAGAAGGCCACAAATGGTGATCGCGTGACCCCAGAATACCTGCAACCACCATAAATATATGCCGGTTGCCAAATGCCCGAATTTTGATCACGTGAACCATGGGAGAATGCTGCAACAATTGTTAACTGTGGAGAACCCGCTGTAAGTGCCATTAAAATAGTTGATAAATGAGCGGTTGTAAGTCAAGGACTAGCTGTAAGTAACGCCAGCAAGGAGATTGAATAGAGGCAGAAAGGCAGATACGTCACACAGTCTCACTTAGGCTCCCTATCAGGACCCTCCTTGTCTCCAGAATTGGTTCACCGACAAATGCGCGCCCGACAAATGCGCCCCGACAAAACCGTGCTGACAAAACCGCAATGTCAAAATCGCGCCCACAAAAGCGTGCCGACAAATGCGCGCCAACAAAAGCGCGCCATCAAAAGCGCGCCATCAACAAACAACATAGCGGGACGTGAAAACAATAGCAATAGCAATAGTTAGGCTTATATACCGCTTCATAGGGCTTTCAGCCCTCTCTAAGCGGTTTACTAAGCGAGTCAGCATATTGCCCCCAACAACAATCCGGGTCCTCATTTTACCCACCTCGGAAGGATGGAAGGCTGAGTCAACCCTGAGCCTGGTGGGATTTGAACAGCCAAACTGCTGAACTGCAGTGCTGAATTTAACCACTGCGCCACCTCGGCTCTTTGTTATAACCCTAACCCTAACTCTAATCGTGCTTTTGTGGGCGCGCTTTTGACGTCGCGGTTTTGTCGCCACGGTTTTGGCGATGCACATTTGTCGGGCGCGCATTTGTTGGGTCACGGAATTATGACACTTAGGAGATGCCTTGAGCAAAAGAAGCCAGGGCAGTCCTAGGCTGCATTAAGCGAGGTATGGCATCAAGATCAGGTGAAGGGTTAATACCACTTTATAATGCCTTGGTAAGACCACACTTGGAATAACACATCCAGTTTGGGTTGCTATGATATAAAAAAAGACGTTGAGACTCTTTGCAACAATGTTGGTTAGAGGACTGGAAGTAAAACATACGAAGAACCATTGCAGGAACTGGGTATGCCTAGTTTAATGAAAAGAAGGACTAGGGGTGATATGATAGGAGTGTTCCAATATTTGAGGGGCTGCCACAAAGAAGAGGGAGTCAACCTATTCTCAAGGCACCTGAAGGCAGGACAAGAAGCAATGGGTGGAAACTAGTCAAGGAGAGAAGCAACTTTGAACTAAGGAGAAATTTTCTGGCAATTGGAACAATGAATCAGTGGAACAGAAGTTGCCTCCAGAAGTTGTGAATGCCCCAACACTGGAAGTGTTTAAGAAGATGTTGGATAGCCATTTCTCTGGAACGGTATAGGGTTTCTTGCCTAGGCAGGGGGTTGGACTAGAAGACCTCCAAGGTCCTTTCCAACTCTTATTCCGTTAAATTCAGGATGAGGCATCTTCCCCTGCCTCCTATACATGAATAGCATCAAAAGGGTGGTAGGACTGTCTCGCTGAATGACCATTCCAACATCTCACAGGGTCTGAATAGAACTAAAAACCCTAATTTTATCCAAGGACACTCTTCAGCCACAAGATTATAACAGCTTTAATCCAACACTGGAATGACAGTCATTGAATTCGGTGGAATTTATCATACATAGCTTTCCCCATCCCTTCCCAAAGTATCTTTTACCTCGTCTCATTTCCCTCCTGGTTAAGTCTTTCTCCCTTTCCTTTAAAGTACCCCTCCCTTGACCACATCTCCATCCTGTTGAGTTCTAGTCCTTCCCCCACCCACCACCCCAGTTTCTGCTGGAAAATAGGAAAGGAATATGTGTGTTTGGGTGTGGTTTCTTTCCACACAGACATTGGTATTTTAATTAGAATTATTAATTAAATTAATGTTTCATTTTTCATTTTTTTCATTTTCCCTTTATTTGTATGCCGCCCTTTTCCCTGGGGGGACTCAGGGCGGCTCACAGTTCAAAAAGGGGGGGGGGGGG